GACCCTGTCTCAAAAAAAAAAAAAAAAAAAAAAAAATTCAGTGACCAGAAACTTTGTGTGTGTGTTTTAACACTTTAGTTCCACAGCAAAACTCGCCTCAGAACATATTCAATAGGCAGGAGTTATGTACAACAGAAGGTAGAAAACTGGGCTTGGGTCTGCTGTGCGGCCTTAGGCAAATTACTTAACCTCCATGGGCCTCGGTTTGTTCATTTGTCAAATGAGGGTAACATTACCTAGGCTGAGGCCTCAGAGAGTTGCCGCAAGGATTCCATTATATAATAGTTGTAGAAAACGCGTTGGAAGGTCTGAGGCACTCTGCAGATGCCTTCCCTGATTATTATTCAGCTCCCAGTCCCTGGGAATTCACTGAAACAGGGCTTGCCATGCTTGAATTTTAACATTGTAACCAACCTAAAAAAATAAGAATTTCCTTTATACTGATGTGATTAGAATTGATTTCTGAACGCCGTCGCAAAGCAAGTCATTTGCAGCCTCTCCTCCATTAGACTGAAAAAGAAAAGAAACGCAAGTGTTTGCGTAACTGCTAGAAGCCTGTTTCTCTGTCAAGCCGGCGGAGGTGGAGTTTCTTCTGGGAGGCTGCTTCTGGCTCCCTTGACTTCAGCAGGGCTTGGCGTCAGACGGAAGGATTTTAAGTCAAAACACACATGGCTATAGGGAATACGATGAGTCATGTTCCGCCGGGGCTGAGCGGCTCCGGGAAATCAGCCGCAATAATGAATGAGAATGAACGCCTCCTCCAGGCCTGCGCCACCGCCTCCTCAGCCCAAGGCCAGGTTCACGGTTTTAATCATCAGTGTCTCCGCACAGCCCCGCTTGGAGGGGCACGGCGGGAGCAGTTTGCACATTACACATTCATAGAGGCGCAGCCATTCATTACAGTCATCCTCAGGCTCTGCCCTAATGAGACTCAGGAACAAGGCTTTAAATGTCATGATGCTTTTGTGTCTTTTCCTGATGGAAGAACTGCACGATGATGCTGGTGATGCAGCCGGTTTCAGAGGAACCAGGGCGGGTGCCTCACACGCAAACCCCGAAATGACGACCATCTCCAAGGCCCCCAGACGTCTTAGAGGGTTCTGAGTGAATGAGCCCCTTCAGATTCCCTTTGGGGTATTTATTTCCGGACCTCAACCCTAACATCTCTAAACTGTTTGCATCTGTCTGGCTGGCATCCACCAGCTGAAGTAGGACTTGGGTCTTTTAACAATAACAAGGAGATTAAAATCCTGGGGTTTTTTTTTTTCCCCTACAATGGTGAATCCCTTTCTTCTAAACTCGGCTTCATTACTCTTTATTTTAGCCAAAAGTCAAGAAGCATCCATGTATTAAAAGAGACAGAGAGTCAGTTAATGGGCACATTCTGGTGCCAAACTGCCTGGGTTTGCACCTGCCTCTTCCTCTTCCTAGCTGTGGAGCCTCAAGCTATTTATTTATTGTCTTCATGCCTCTGCTCTCTCCTCTATAAAACAGAAATCATAATAGCAGGTACCTCATAGGGTTTTGTGTGACTTCAGTCAGAACAATAAGCATTCAATAAATATAGTGCTATTATCATTAAGACATATTTATTGAACTTTTACTTTCCCCAAGACTTACATCAGGCACCAACAATACAAAGCAAATAAAATTCAAGGGCTGTTCATGTGGAAACTAGTGAGGAAAATATCTATACACATTGCATAGGCTGTTTTGCATTCCTATAAAGGAAGACCTGAGACTGCGTAATTTATAAAGAAAAGAGGTTTAATTGTCTCCCGGTTTTGCAGGCTGTGCAAGCATGGCACCAACACCTGCTTAGCTTCTGGTGAGGACCTCAGGAAGCTTACAGTCCTGATTGAAGGCAAAGTAAGTGCAGGCATGTCACATGGCAGGAGTGGGAGCAGGTTTGGGCAGTCAGACTTTTAAATAAGCAGATCTCACATGAACTGAGGGAGAACTCACTTGTTACCAAGGGGATGGTGCTAAACCATTCACAAGGGATCCACCTCCATGATTCAGTCCCCCTGACCTCAACTCCAACATTGGGGATTACATCACTACGTGAGATTTGGATGGGGACAAACATCTAAACCATATCACACATCATAGCAGGCTGTGATAAATGGGAAGACAAGGGACCAGTGGCTGGAGAGAGACCATGATTAGTGTTGCATAGGAGGGCTGGAGATTTTAGATAGCAGGGAACCTTTGAACTTGAGTGTCTAAGATGGACAGAAACTGACCAGGAAAAGATTAGAAGCAGCTGAGTGTGGTGGCTCATGCCTGTAATCCCAGCACTTTTGGAGACTGAGGCAAGAGGATTCCTTGAGCCAAGGAGTGCAAAACCAGCCTGGGCATCATGTAGAGATCCCATCTCTACAAAAATTAATAATAATAAAAATTAACCAGATGTGGCGGCATGCATCTGTAGTCCCTGCTACTCAGGAGGCTGAGGCAGGAGGATCACTTGAACCCAGAAGATTGAGGCTGCAGTGAGCCATGTTCACAGCACTGCACTCCAGCCTGCAGCCTGGGCAATTGAGCAAGATCCTGTCTCAAAGAAAAACAAAGAAAGAATAGAAGCATTTGCTTCATCTCAATCTCTCAGCAAGTCTGCACCTTTACACAGAGCTTTCTTCAGTTGTCCAAAGAGAAGAGCAGGCTGGTCCCGGACCCTGAACATGACCCACAGGATATGTGGATGTTTTAGAGCCTTATCTCTGTGTCTGGATCCTGTCCCCACACCTGTGCTGCTCCAGAAGACACTACATGCTCCAGGAGTTTACTATGTCTCTTGCATCTGAAGATAACAAATCAAGTGAAAGAAGGGGTCTTCTTTTTTTTAAGAGAGAGAGAGAGAGAGAAAGGGATCAAACACTTGCCAGAGGCCAAGACATTCTTTGTTTTTAGGATATTCCTGATCTTGGGGCTTTGGAATTAAGTTCTCATAGCTTTCATCAAGTAGTCACCATAGGACACTCAGCTAATGACCTTTCAGAATTTCTTGGATGAAGAAAGATAAAGTGGCAAAACGAAGGGTATGTGATCATGAGAATAGCTGATGTTTATTAAGCTGACTATACGTCACACCGTTTACAATTACTATATCTTTACACTTAACCTATTGGGAATATTACATGTTGAACTATGTTAACTTGCCATTTTTCAGTTTAGAAAATGATCGAATATAGTAAGTTCATGTGGTTCGAGCTAATATCATTACCATTCTGGTGATGGGGAAACTGCAGCTTAGAGAGGGTCATGAATAGACGCAAGTGAACTGTGGTCAGATGATCTGGGTTTGATTTCTGGTGACACCACTTAATAATAGTTTCTACCCTCATAAGGATGTTGGGGGGCAGTGGTTGTTAAATAGGATATGCTAATAAATAAGTGCCTAGCACGTTTTGAGATTGCAACATTCTTTTTTCTATACCAACTGGCCCTTGATCAAAGGAGAGGAAAAAATAAGTAGACTAATCCCCATTCCCAGGCAGTCAGAGGGTTAGGGGTGGGTGCTGGGCCTCCTGGTATCCTGCGTTGACTACCAGGCCTGGCCCTGTTTTCCCTAGCTCCCAAGATCTGGTAAGACAGAAGCATTTAAATGATCAGACTCTGAAAAGGAGGATTCAGTGATGAGTAGAACATAGAGCAGTGACTGGGTTTGAAATCAGGAAACTGGGGACAGAGGTCCTTTGTTGAGTTTCTGGAGACTTGGGATGACACTCAGTTTTGCTTGAAGGGATTTCTAAGAAGGCAACTAAAACTACTGGGGTGGAGCATAAGAAAAACAGAGACAAAAGAGAAACTGTCAAGAGTATCCATTGGTTGTATCATTGATCACCATTTCCCAGGAGCCATGGAAATGGGAAGGCTTTCCAAGGGGCCCTCAAAAAGCTTCCTCTACTGCTGCCTTCTCTTTGCTACCCTGGGGGCTAGCTACAAAGCAGAGCCAGGCACCAGGTTAGTGGTGCTAGACAGTTACAGGAAATATCAACCCCTCATCAGTATTAAGATTCCGGCTTCCCCTTATAGTCTCACTCTTTTATTCTACTCAAAACCATGATTAGTTGAGTGAAATAAATTTAAACTTGAGAATTTGGCAATCATCTTTTAAATAAGTGGAATCCCCATTGAACAAAACTAAATCCAACTGGGTATTGCTGGAACCAATTCTGTAAGTTGGGTCTTACACAGAGTACACGGTGAATGTGTTCTCCCTTCCAGCCTCCTACCTGCACCATGAATCTTCCATGGAAACAATTATCTCCTTCAAGAACCAGCATGACTTGCTGGGCGCAGTGGCTCACGCCTGTAATCCCATCACTTTGTGAGGCCAAGGTGCCCAGATCACGAGGTCGGGAGATGGATGGAGACCATCCTGGCAAACATGGTGAAACCCCGTCTCTACTAAAAATACAAAAATTAGCTGGGTATGGAAGTGCATGCCTGCAATCCCAGCTACTTGGGAGGAGAATCACTTGAACCCAGGAGGTAGAGGTTGCAGTGAGCTGAGATCATGCCACTGCACTCCAACCTGGCGACAAAGCTAGACTCTGTCTAAAAAAAAAAAAAAAAAAAAAAAGAACCACCATGACTGATGGAAGTTTGAACTATAGCTGTAAAATCCGGCAAGATGGGTATGGACCTTGCTACATTCAGATTTGTTACCATCAACTCAAACCAAAACCACAGAGCTTTTTGAAAGGGGGTTGACAAGGAAGAGGTACTTGTTTAGGGACCCCTTTTACCTCATCTTGGCCCCACATAGGCCTGTCCCTCCATAGCTGCATCTCAAACCTCAGACCTTAGCCTGCCATGAGCACCAACCACACTGAAATCTCAGTTTCTTGAAGCCTTGCTCTCTGATAGGATCAATCTGTAATAATGACAGAACACGCTATTTGGGTAACCTTCCACTCATGCATTTATCCATTCATTTGCTCATTCATCAAATGTTTATTGAACTGATTGAATTATTCAGAAAGTAATGGTGCTGTGCTCTCTGCCCTCTTCGAGTTCACAGCCTAGTGGCTGGGACTGAGGGGGGCGGGGGCGGGCAAGTGAAGGAGGCATATGCATACACCCTTGATGGATAAAACAGAATAAAACATGTTTTCGACAGAGGCACACGGAAAAGGCCAAGAGGGAAGAGGAGCAATTAATTCTCCAAAAAGTTCAAGACAGCCTTCGTGGATATAGTGACATTTGAACAAGACCTTGAAGAAGCATTTCAGGAGGAAGAAAGGTGAGTAAGAACTTGCTCTCCTGAGGGAAAGGACTGAGCAAGATACAGACTGGGGAGGAAGGAGGTTCGCTGGGGGAAAGAGCTTGGTTTGCCACAAGGACAGCAGCCAACTTTACTGAAGGTTCACCTTGTTCCAAGCACAGGGCTAAATGCTTTACATTAATTAAAACATGCAATCCCTATAATAATGAGATAGGCACCCTCATTGTTCGCACTTTACAGAGTGGGCAACTGAAGGCCCCAAAGATCTAGCAACTTTCCCAACTTGGACGTTTATTAAAGTGAGGAGCAGAGACCCCCGCAGGTAGTCTGCCTTCCTGACCACACCCCACATTGCCCACGAGGATTGTGTAGAGAAAGTCAAGCAAGGCTGGAGTCTTGACAGACACTGCCTGGAATGCAGATGAGGGGGTTTGGGCTTCCTCGTCAAATTTTCTAAGGAAAGAAAGGAAATAAATGACAACAGGAGGAAAACAACTGGGGCAGCTGTGTGGAGAATGAATTTGCATCTTAATGAGAACATTTAACGCCTCAAGCCAGAGCTTCTAAAGAAGGGAAATTCAGACTTTCAGGTCTTCTAAAGAGGTTAGAGATTTCCAGATAAATGGAGGGCAGGCCCAGATCAGCTTAACGACCCTTCACACACCCTGGGCAGGTGGTTCTCTACTGGATAGGAACCCACCCCACCCCCGCTGCCAAAAAGTTATCTAGATAAGAACAGAGAAACCTGCATTGTTTTGACCCAAATCCCACAGCTCGAATGTGGCTGAACAGAGGTCCAGGTACACTTCTCTATCTCCGAGTCCTGCGTTTCTTCCACAGTATGGTCCAGGTTTACACGCCCCAGTATTTAAACCAGCACGAGTGCACCAGCAGACTGCCCCACAGCCACACCTCCAACCTCTCCCATCTACTTCAGCTCAAGGAAGGAGCACAGCCAGCCCTGGAGGAGCTGCAGCTCAAGATGTTGGTGCTGCAAACAGGGAGACGCTGTGGTCAACCTTGACTGTCCTCCCAAACTACTGAAGGCGCAATCCCCCGCAGTCTGGCTCTACCTCCCACTCTCATTGGGCCTTTTTCTTTTTCTTTTCTTTCTTTTTTTTTTTTTTTTTTTTTTCTTCTTTCTTGTCTGCAAAGCTTAGACCAAAGTAAGTAATCTAGAAATATCCAGAAAAGAGTTAATTAAAACAACTCAGGTTGAGAAGGCAGATGCAGAAGATCAAGGCGCTTCTGAAGTTGACACGGGACTCTAACAGGGAGAAATGAATCTCAAGACCGCTGTGGGACATGTGCTCCCGCAACTTCACAACTGATCACGTAGAGCTATTGCCTTACACGTAATTGCTCCAAAGTAGGTGTTGCATTTAATTGCATTAAAGCCTTGCTAACTTGTTATTCGTGCAATTTTAAGGGGGAAAAAAGCCAGACTGATTTCAGCTCTGTGCTCCTCTCCATGCCAATCACTCATTCATTAGCTCCATTGTCTCGAGAGGAGAGTAAGGAGTACTTCCAGCAGAGCAGCCACTTTTCCTGGAGTCGTTCAACTTTCTGCAGATTTGATGAGAGTAAATCCCACTAGAATGTCCCTCCATTACCTGAGACCATGGCTACCTGAGCTGAGAGAGGAAGATTGGGGCTGTTAGATGGGAGTGAGGGATAGTCTTGGCTGCCAGCACACAGGCAGTCAGGAGAAGCAAATGCAGTCATACCTGGGTGGCAGCCTGTCTAGTGACACTTGAAACCAGGAATGTGGCAAAACTGGTGGTGCTCCTGGTGGCTAGAGAGATGGTAACAGGACCCATTTTTCCAGAGGAAGGCTCTGTTCGTATCTAAGTCAGGTGTGAGAATCCAAAAAAGTCCAACCAAGTGGGTTTTTGACCACTACCTGTTTAGAACCCTTGAATGGCCAGCTGTTGCCCTAGATTAACTCCCAGTCCGGATCACTGCCCCCGCCACTCCTGCCGCCAGTCCCTGCAGGGCCAGGCTTTGCTTGTCTCCCAAGTCCTGCTCTCTTTCACTCTCATCTCCTCAATTATATGGGGCTTTCGACTGCCCCAGAACCTTTGCACATTCCACTGACTCTGCATGGAGTGTGGCTTCTTGCCCCTTCTACTTAGCTTCTAATCACAGTCTGTAGTCCTTACTTTACTCATCATTTCCTAACAGAAATTATCCCTGACACCCCAGGTTAAAGTAGGTTCCTTTTTCATAGACTCCCAAAGAACCTAATTTCTTACTGTATTTACTATAAATTGTTATTTTTTGCATTCTTGATGCTCTGACATTAGGAGCCTTGATCCTGGCGAGACTGCCCCTCCCAAGGCCAGCTGACCTCTACTCCCCTGTGAGCAGGCCTTTAATACACAAACCAAGAAATGCACAGCCCACACCTATAACTATCTCCTTTACCAAACTCTCAAGCCATGCCAACATTATCCTACCCTAAATCATCCCAGGGCCAACTACAGGACAACCAGAGACCCCCTCTAGAGCTCAGACCCCCCAGATTATTCCAACTATCCAATCCCAAGCTTACTCAGTGTGCCTATTCTGCCTCACCCATTCCCTCCCATGAAAAGCCAATAAAGGCTCAGGGGCTTGCTCTGCCCTTCCCCATCTCTGCCTCTTGACCCATCCTGGCTCTCCCCGATATGGCCCTGCATAGCATGGCATGGTGTGGTGTGCCTCCTATTTCTAGGAATCAGTGAGTATAAACTTCTTCCTTCTTAACAATCATTTCTGTGTCTGCACATCTTACCATACTCATTTAAAACAAATACAGGGTGCACCTTAATACATGTACTCTCATAGGGCTTTCCTGGGTTATTCCTAGGATTTTTTTTATGTCTGACCCTCTAGATTGTAAGCTACTTGAAAGAAGGTTCCATATCTGTCAGTGCTGATGTGTGTGTGTGTGTGTGTGTTTTGTGTGTATGTGTGTGATGGAGTCTCCCTCTGTCACCCAGGCTGGAGTGCAGTGGAGCAATCTCAGCTGACTGCAACCGGCACCTCCAGGGCTCAAGCAATTCTCTGGCCTCAGACTCCCAAGTAGCTGAGACTACACGGGTGTGCCACCACACCCAGCTGATTTTTTTTTTTTTTTTTTTTCTATTTTTAGTAGAGATGGAGTTTCACCATGTTGGCCAGGCTGGTCTCAAACTCCTGACCTCAGGTGATCCACTCGCCTCGACTTTCCAAAGTGCTGGGATTACAGGCATGAGCCACACCCAGCCTATGCTGACTTTTATCCCAGTACCCAGCACTGGGGGGATACTCTATTAAAAAAAAAATCCCAGTGCCCTGAGGAGAACCAGCAGCACCGCACAGGAAAGGTGAAGTCGCGGCCTGCAGTCACAGACTAGATGACACAACTTGCGTGGGAACAGATCTGGCAGCCAGGTGGGTCGGTATCCAGCACTCCTCTAAGACAGGGGAGAGGCCAGGTGAATGACAGTCAGACCAGCTCTGGACTACATGGGCTGGAGAGATAAGCCCAGTGCCAATGAGGTCTAGCTCACTCGTAGGCAGGTTAAAGACATCTGTGACTGGTTGAGAGGGTTGGTGGGGAGCTTGGAGAGACAGGGCTAGTCAAACTGACTGGTTAATCAGTTAGCATTTTAGCATACTCACCCTGAGAGAGCCTCAACAGGACACTCACTTTACTTGCAGATCTCTACCATGTAGACAACGTGAGGATCGTAAAATAACACATGAGGGAGGGGGCAAAACATGGGGGCTCCACCTGGCCAAGGAGAAAATCATGAGTGCTCAGGACCTTACTTTGACTACTTGTCTGGAAGAAGGACTCTGTGTTCTCAGCACACCTTTAGGATACTGAAGAGTACATCCATTGAAGCCCAAGGGCACTTAGAAACACAATCTGTGTGATGGTTGACATGGCTGTAACTGTAAAATAACAGCAGTGATAGCCAACCCCCAGGGCTTAATCACAGGATGCCCGAGTGTCACTGTTTCTTCTCGCTTTCTCTTTAAAATGCGTCACAGAAGCTAATCATACATCCTGAGCATTGTGCTGGAAGCCCCTGCTCTGCTCTCTGACACAAGCATGTCCAATTAGAAGCCCAGCATCCAGCACCTCTGACCCTATCCGTGGGAGGCAGACTCCTGAGCCCTGGATTCTATTTCCAGCCTCTGCAATGCTGAGCCGGGTGAGGTGACGCATCACCTCGCCTGGTGTTTTCTAATTGACAGCCTGAGAGCATCGCATCAAGTGTTCCTTCCTCCAAGCCCAATTAAGTAGTTTCCTTCTCCCAGAAGGCAAGTTTTTAAAAATTCTCTTTTAACTCCATTCTCCACTCTCATTCTCCAACTCCTAACCATGTCCCCATGGGCAAGCACACTCATATGTTTAATGTGTATGTTTTTGCTTGCTTATATTCTTGCAAAATGGGCTTTGTTAGTCTGTGTGTGTGTGTATCTTTAATTTACGTACATTGTATTGTGTTAAATGTCTCCTTCCATTTCTTGTATTTTTGTAACTCATCACTATGCCGCTAAGGTTTATCCAAGTTGCCAGGTGTGAATCTAATCAGCACGGTGTAGGTATGAATGCCCCGTACCTTACTGGCCACTGACCCGGTGATGGCTGCTGCATTTGCCTCCAACACTGCCTCACTGCAAACACTGTTGCAGAAGGTATCCCTGTATGTATCCATTAACATCTGTGCATATTCTTATTTTTCTAAATGCCAGATTGTTCTCCAAAGACTCTTGAGGGCTTCTCTATCCTCACATGCCCATCCTTGCCAACTGGTGGCATTTTCCAGCCTCCTACTTTTTGCCAAACTTATATGTGTAAAGTGATATATCGTTATTTTATTTTTCATTTATTTGATTACTAATGAGTTTGAACAAGCCTCCATATGCTTGAAGGCCTTTGGACTTCCTCTTCTGGTTAGTCTGTTTGTATCCTTTGACTGTTTTTCTTTTGTGGCTGATGCCTTGTAGAGTCTAGATTTAAATCCCTTTTCAGTTTTAAA